CACAAACTGTCTCAAAGCACATTTACATAGCACATAATGACCTTTGAGGATATTGTTTGGTTGTGTATTTTTTAGGTAACACCTGCCTAATTTTAAAGATACTCATGATCCCTCATTTTCAAAACGTGAAATTTTGGTAGTGATCCTACTGGGCTCTCGACAATCCATCCTAAATGGTCTCTGATTTCTGGTCTTACTTTTGAAAGGAACAGTGGATTTCTTGTTCCCTAATGCTTAACTTTGTTGATTTAGCCTGAGCCTTGGGATATAGTTGGGAAGTTTTTGCTAACCTCACTTCTTTGCCTTCAGGAAAGGGGTCAGAACTCCTTCAGAGAAAACATTGCAATGGCCATGTAGGGTTAGGTAAATATGCCGTGCAAGAATAAACCAAAATTATGTCAACAAAGGGGATGAATCTATCCTAACACCAGCTTAGTTGTTGAAGACTTCCTAGTGGTACTGTTCTGAATTTCTTTTTCTTATCAGAGAGCTAAAACAGTTCTGTTTACTGTAGTCTAAGAAAACATTTTTTCTTATATAGTTACAGCCACATTTTGATCCTTATGAAGAAATAAAATGTATGTGATTTACAGTATAAAGTGTTTGCATATAATATCTCTAGGGGTTATATCATTAGAGAAATGTTCAGTTAGGGTAAAGCTGGTATTAAAATATCAACTATTGAGTAAGAAAATAAATAAATGCCTTTTCTTTATTTGCGTCATTTGTTTTGACCTGGGTAATGGGTGCTGTGTACAAAAAGAGTAATTGTTCATCCAGTGAACCTCTGTGAACCCTTGTAACTGTTTTCTGCAAAGTTCTTCTGTAAGTGTGCATCTAAGGCTTTTGATGGTATTTTACTTAGAGTGTGTGTGTGTTCAATCACTTAGTTGTGTCCAACTCTGCAACCCCATGGGCTGTAGCCCACCAGGCTCCTCTGCCCATGGAATTTTGCAGGCAAGAATACTGGAGTGGGTTGCCATTTCCTTCTCCAGGGGATCCTCCCAACCCAGAGAACGAACCTGCATTTCTTGCATTGGCAGGAGGATTTACCACTGTGCCGCTATTTTACTTAGAGAGTAAAATGTAATCTCTTTATTCTAACCCTTTGCTTTCTGTAACCTTCTGCATGATGCTTATGTTATTTGAAGGTTCATTGCAAGCCTTTCACATGAATTCCTGAAGTATTCTATTTTCAAATCTTAGTTTAACTGCTTGAATATGTTGCTGAGGCCCCTCTGTGCACATGACTGGCTTAGGTTAAATGCTTGGAGGAGCATTGCTTTGTGCTTCTAGAGGGATTACATTCCCATTACTAATTATCAATAAGCATTTCGAGCTTTAATGTTTCTTTAATGGTCAGAGGCTTTCAGGTGACAGAGGTGAACATTAGTAGGGCAAGCTGGCCGGCTATGCAGTGAGACTCAACCCTCTTTCATAGAACTTTAATTTATTTTGGCATTTGATGTTACATCAAGGTCATGATCTGACAGCCTCCCATGCTGGCATCTTGATTTTAAAAACCAGTGCATCATTACACAGGGATCTATGAAGGAGCATGATTCATTAACCATGTGTAATTCTAAATTTCCAGTGAGAAGCTGAGGCAAGGCTTTGCAATGCAAGCTTGTAAGTAATTTTAGATTCTCCATGTTATATTTCTGAAATGAAGAGATTAACCAAAATGATTGCTACATTTTCTTCTAATTATTTGTCTGATTTTTCTTGGCATTACAGTGGTTAATATGCTAGTCAATCAGATGAACTTATACAAACATTTATTTATGCATTTTACAACCATCTATTTATACTTATCTATCTATCTACATCTGTTTTTCTGTGTAACAGAAACTGTGTAGGATACAGAAGGAATATTATGATGATTGTCTGTTTTTAGGAGCTCTTAATACATTTGACCAAATAAATATGCCACTGACTGTTAAATTAAAAAAATAATGTATGCTGGTTTCTTCTTCTTTGATCATTTTCTGGTTGTTGGATTTTCTTCCTCAATTTTGATGAGGCTCATGTGTGGAAGGGTTTTCCACATATTGAAACTTATATTCCAACATGAGTATATGATCACTGCTGGTGCCGTTAATCACAACTTTATAGAAATGCTTATAATCATTGACTGGGCCAGTGACATAGTTCTGTTTTACTCCATTTGTAATTGTGGCCAGATTGGAAAACCCATCACTTGATCTGATGTGAAGAGCCAAATTTGCTTCATGCTGTTGGTATCCAAATTTCCTCATGTTGTGGAATGCTCTTGTGAAACACAACTGTTTATGAATCTTATGTCTATGCCTTTCTATGTCTCTTGAATATGAAAAGAAGCAAATAGGCTGCTTCAGGAAGCTGTGTTTTGAAATTGCCTTGTGATTTTTGGTGTGGTCCACTGATAATGATATTTAGGAACCTGCACAGGAAATTTGAGGCCAGGTTCTCCTTCGCAACGCAGAGCTTATTTACTCTGTCACTGAGCTTCTTAAGAAAAATGGCTATCATACGTATTTACAGCCTAAGTTTTAAAACTTGGCTTTTAATGTATCTCTTTGGATGTCTTCAAATGCACTTCAGGATACAAAAACAGAACAGTTCTGTTCTAAAGGATAGGACTGTGTTGTTCAGGAGATGTCATGAAAGACTCTTCCAGCAGAACTTTTCTTTCTCTTTTTTACTGAGAATTTCTATTTGAAATATCCCAAGCAAAGACTATAACCAGATTTCCATTTGCATGCATAATGTTGCCCAACCTGAAAACCTTGAATCAGTATCTGGCTGTGTTCCACTGCTTCCCCATCAGTGTCTGCTCTGTACTCTCTGGGATGGAGGTGCTAGTAAATGGAGAAGAGTCAACAGTCGAGCGTTTTTGTTTAGTGCTTAATGCTAATTCTGGGTGTACTCAGATTACACTTTGCAGGAACACCTGGCTTGGCTTTGTCATTAGATAACCCAGAGACCGATGGGTTTGCAAATTTGGAGCATAAATTTTGCAGAAGCTTTGTGTTCACCTCTTCCACCTCTCAAATAAGACTCCATTAATGTCATGCTAGATATCTCAGATTTTCTCAGAAGTTGTAATACAACAGTTCTATACCTTAACCTCATGTAAGTGTTATCTTTTTACCATGCTGATTGGAGTAATGAGGCACAAAAGGCTTTTCCATGTGTCCTAGGTCTGTAGATGCTTGAAAAACAATTTGATGCTGGCCACTAAGCCTTGGTTCTTTTTTGGGTGGTTGGAGGGACTGTTTCCCTCTCTTGTTTTTTTCTTTTTCTTTTTTCCCTTTTGGCTGTGCCTTGTGCTTTGTGGGATCTTAGTTCCCTGAAGAAGAATTGACCCTGGGCTTTCTGTAGTGAAAGTGCTGAGGCCTAACCACTGGACAGCAGGGAAGTCCTCTAAGCCTTGATTCATAATGGAATACCTGAATTGCTTATCAGAAGTGAGTTCTAAACTAGTAACAGGTTTCTGAGTATTGGAAAAAGTTCTGTTTAATTTTTTACCATACTCATTTAGAATTGGAGAAACTTAAGAATGAGGTTTATAAGGGAAATTAAAGATGAGAAATATAACAAAACTATAATGTTTAAGAGTTTGCTCTCCTTTTACCAATTCTCATTCATTACCAGAAATACAGTTTTTATTTCTGCAGTACCTTGCCTTAATATTCATTACTAATTAATGCCGTGGAGACTTACCCCACAGACTCAGGGCCCCTCTGGTGTCTGCTTTTCCGTTTGTAAGTTCATGCTTGCTTGTTGCATGGTGATGACTATCACACTAGAGTGAGCCACATGTCCCATTCATTTTGAAGGAAAGATAATTGCCAAATTAATACAAAAAATTGTGTTGACAACTTTGTAACAGGGAGATACTAAAAAATTCATAAGACTGGATGTATTTTAAAGTTTAAATTTGTTATATTTATTTAATTACAGAAAGAAATCCTGTTTTTTATAGAAACTTGGAAGCTCAGGGAAATGTAAAGAAGAAAACTAAAATCACCTTTAATCCTCTTATACAGAGATTACACTATTCTGATTTATTTCTTACAATTTTCTAAAGTATGTGTGTTCAATGATTTACAAATACATATGCTAATTTAAACACCTACTTTAAAAATTAAATTGACATCACAGTATCCTCCATTTAAAATCCCAATAGTATGTCAGCATTAATGTATTATGATGGTTTTTACTTTTTTACTTTAAAAACAATCAATGTCATTAATGCATTTATACATAAATTTTCTTAGGATAGGTAATTTGAACAGTTTTAAGACTTTTGGTACAAATTGCCAAAATGCTTTCTCAAAGTCTGAACCAATTTTTATTATTAATTTATAGTAATTCTTATTTTACTTAAACTATACTCAAATTTACTTCATAAAAGTGAACCAAATATTTTCCTTTTTAACAGGAGAAATACTATTTTGTCATTGTTTTTTATTTCTTAATAGGATAAACACTTTTGTGAAATGCTTTTTTAAATTTAGAAATGAATTTTATTGGATTGGAAGAATGAACTGTTAGTAACTTTGTCTAAATGTAACAAAAATTTTCAAATATGTAATAACATAGTGACCTCTGTAAAACTTCATATTTTGAGGGAAGTTTTGTTTGTGTGGAAAGGGGAGAAAGAATTTGTTTGGGTATTAAGTAAAGTTGAGTGATTTGGCAATCACAATTGTACAAGATTTCAAAAATTTCTCATTGAATTTGAACATCTAACTAGTTAGTACTTGAAATGTAGATTAATACATTGTATTTTTAAGAATGGGGAAATCAGTGCCTTAAAGATTCAAAGACTATTATTTTCAATGTAGAAATTGTGAAAACACATCAATTTGTTATCATATAAAGTAAAATTAGCTATTTTGCTTTTAAAAAGCTCATCTGTGGAGTATAAAAGAATACAGACTGTACAGCAGTCCCAAGTAGTGTTGACACTAATATCTAATATTTGTATTATCTCTTTGCCTTTTTCTGTTCAGGACATCCAGGCAGAAATTGATGCCCACAATGACATATTTAAAAGCATAGATGGAAACAGGCAGAAGATGGTAAAAGCTTTGGGAAATTCCGAAGAGGCAACTATGCTTCAGCATCGACTGGATGATATGAACCAAAGATGGAATGACTTAAAAGCAAAATCTGCCAGCATCAGGTCAGTGATGTCAGTGTCAAAAATAAAAAGGGGGCAGGATTTTCATGATTTTTGCATATCAGGAAGAGAACAAGAGGCCTTACCACTGTCCAATGCCTTTGTCAGCTGTTCCTATTTACAGATTTGCATATCACATTTTAAACTTGGTAATGTTAATGATGTTACCAGTACCTGGTAATTGTTGACAGTTCACCTTGACCAAGTACTGCTTTTACAAATATTGCTTGATTTAGTATTCAAAAAGTCCTTGTAAAGTGAATAGTAAAATCCTTTCTTACATGAGGTATCTGAGGCTTACTAAATATAAAGTACTTGACAAGTTTTTGAGCTAACTAGTTTCATAACAGGATTTGAATCTAGATCTTTTTGACATTTGGCAATGAATGTGTTTTGGTTCATTGTGCTATTTGTATGTCCAATTTGAAGGTGTACATTTAGAAATTGCATGTCACTTATGGATACTAAAATATAAAATTGATGACATGTCTCCATTTGGAGAAAGGGGAGATCTGGATTCGATCCCTGGGTTGGGAATATGCCCTGGAGAAGGCAAAGGCTACCCACTCAAGTATTCTGGCCTGGAGAATTCCATGGACTATATAGTCCATGGGGTCGCAAAAAGTCGGACACGACTGAGTGACTTTCACTTTCACAATTAAATAAGGATGAATTTGACAACCAGAATGTTGACTAAGAAAGGACCTTGAAAAATGACCTTTGTGGCAACTATTAATATTATTGGGAGTTAAGGACATTTAAAAATTATATTTACTGAATGGTGGATAATACCTAACTAGATATGAGTTCAGTGGAAAGTGACAGAATATGTTATTGAGCTAAGGTACAAAAGATGAATGTTGGTATAAAGACCTGGATCTTGTACCTCGGTTGGTTTCTTAAATTTTAAAGTTCAGAAACAGTATGATGTCTTGAAAAATGTACATCCTTCAGCCAAATGATCTTGAATTTGACTTTACTATTTACTTACTGATCTTGGGTAAGTCACTTAGTCTCTGAGCCTTGGTTTTCTCATTTAAATATCAAAATATAAATATTTAGCCCACATGATTACTGTGAAGATTGAATGTGGTAATCTGATAGTTCCTTAATCTATATTAAGTCTTTGTAGCATCTGGTTTTATTTTTTCTTACATAAAGGGGCTCAGGGAATCTGCTTCAACTGGTTTCTGCATTTCATAGACTACTTCATGGAGAGCAGAAATCTTTCAGTGGCTATTAATCATGAATGAATTTTTTTTTTTAAATTAAAATTTTCTTTCTGAGGAAGAGAAATCCTGAAAGGTTTTTTTTTTCTTCAAGACTCATGAAGGGAGATTTGTACCTCTTTTTACACTTAAAGAAGGAGGTAATGTAGCATGATTGTGGAAGCCTCTGTGTAAAGATCCTGTTGGACTTTATCCACCCAGTGCTCTTTTCCAGTAAGAGAGGAAAATTAGGGAGTGTTATACACTGAGAGAATATACTTATGCTTGCTTAAAATTGAATTTTCAACTAGCCAAATCCCATTGGTTTTTCCTTTTCTGTTCTCCATAAATATAAATAAATAAATAGATTTAAAGTGTAACACAGTGAAAAACGTTCACTGAGGTTCTAGAAAAACCAAGTCTAACAAGCTGAAAGCCACAAGGATGGCCCTGATGAAGATTGTGCATGTGGTGCTGAAATTTTGAGAGTTTGGAGGATGAGTTCTTCAGAAAGGAGAATTTAATGAAGACAAAAAACCTTCTTTTGAACTGTCCATGGCCTTTATTGACTAAGCCTGTCAAGTCACATATTTTTTTTTCTAACCTGGAAAGGAAGAATTCATAAATTATTGTTGGAATATTATCTAATAAATGATGTTATTTTTAGAAGATGGGAGAATAAGCTTTGTCAGTGGACTTCTGCATCAAGACAAATCATACATTCCAGTAAAATGTGTTATTAATGTGATAATGAGTTAAAATAATTTTCAGCCTCATTACCCATCTCTGGAGATTCAAGCATTTAATGAGAACTTCTAAGTTTGAGGCATTGCTAATCATAATTAAGTTATGGCCCCTACTCATAGAGGTTTCACAGTTCTGTTTAGGATAAGATGGGTCCAAAGGAGGAGGTGGTTACTTTCCCTTCAGATGATCATCAGAGGCTTCAAAAAAGAGGTGATGACTAAGCTGAGCCTTGAAAGATGTATAGCTTTCCCCAGATGGACTGGCTGAGGACTAGAGAAAGACATCTAAACAGGAGGCTGGAAATAACACTGTTTGCACTGAACAGTTAAGAAGTTCAATCTGAGTGAGAACAGCATTTGCTGATGATGCAGAGAGGAAACATTGTGAGTAGAGAAAAGGGTGAAGGGCGAGGTAAGAGAGAATCTTGGGACAGCTGTATATAGTATGCTGCATTATAAAATTTGAAAAATAAGCTTTGGAAAGATCCCTCCCACACAACTATGGAGGATGCATTATTAGGCAAGAAAAGTTCTAAAGACAAGGAGTGCTGCTAAGAGACCTTGTCAGATAAATACAAGAGTGGAATTGCTGGATTGTATGGTAGTTCTATTTTTAATTTTTTGAGGTATTGATATACTGTTCCTTCCCATAGTGGCTGTACCTATTTACATTTCCACAACAGTGGATAAGGATTCCTTCTTCTCTATGTCCTCACCAGCACTTGTTATTTAGTTGTTTTTGACTATGGCCATTTAGACAGGTGTGAAATGATATTTCGTTGTGGTTTTCACTTGCATTTTCCTGATGATTAGTGATGTGGAATATATTTCATGTGCTTGTTGGACATCTGTATGTCTTCTTTGGAAAAAAATGCCTAGCCAGCTTCTCTTCTCATTTTAAAACTGGACTGTTTTTATACTGAATTATATGGGTTCTTTATCTATTTTGGATATTAATCCTTTATGGGACATATTATCAAATATCTTCTCCCATTTTGTTGATGGATTCCTTCTCTGTGCAAAAGCTTTTTTAGTTTAATGAGATCCCAGTCATTCAATTTTGCTTTTGTTGCCTTTGCCTAAAGAGACAAATCACCCACAAAAAATATTGCTAAGACCAACAAAGAATATACTGCAAAGATGTTTTCTTTTAGAAGTTTTACGGTTTCAGGTCTTACCTTTACATCTTTAATCCATTTTGAGTTTGTTTTTAGATACTATGTGAGAAAGTGGCCTAGTTTCATTTTTCCTGGGTAGTGTCCAGTTTTCCCAACACTTCTTATTGAAGAGACTGTCTTTTCCCCACTATATAGTCTCGCCTTTTGTTGTAGATTTATTGACCTTTTGTGCACGGGCTTATTTCTGGCTATTATGTCCCACTGATATATGTTTCTGTTTTTGTGACAGTGCCATACTATTTTGATTACAGTCACTTTAGGTATAGAGCCAAAGAAAGTGAAAACACCACTTCAAAAAGATACATGCATTCCAGTGTTCATAGGAGTATGTTTTTACAATAGCCATGATATAGGAAATAGCCTACATGTTCATCAACTGTTAAATGCATAAAGAAGATTATATATATGTGTATGTATACACTTATAAAAGAATATTTTTATAAATATTCATATAATTGTATGTGTGTGCGAGTGCTCAGTTGCTCAGCTGTTTCTGACTCTTTGCAGCCCTGTAAAGAGTAGCTAAAGGGCTGTAGCCCATCAGACTCCTTTATCTGTGGAATTTTCCAGGCAAGAATTCTAGCATGGGGTGTCATGTCATTTCCTACTCCAGGGGATCTTCCCGACTCAAGATCAAACCCACGTCTGTTGCTTCTCCTTCACTGTCAGGCAGACTGACCAGTAGCATCATCTGGGAAGGTCCATCTGTGTTGTCACAAGTGGTAAAATTTCATTCTTTTTTTAGGGCTGAGTAATATTCCTCTGTGTGTGTGTGTGTGTGTGTGTGTGTGTGTGCACTCTAAATCACTTCAATCATGCCCAACTCTTTGCAACCTTATGGACTGTAGCCCATCAAGCTCCTCTGTCCGTGGGGATTCTCCAGGCAAGAATATTGGAGGGAGTTATCACGCCCTCCTCCAGGGGATCTTCCCAACCCAGGGATTAAACCCATGTCTCCTGTGGCTCCTGCATTGCAGGTGGATTCTTTACTACTGAGCCACTATACACACACATATTGTGGAATATACATGTATATGAGCTGATATATATATATATATAACCTGAAAGGTATTCAGTTCAGTTCAGTTCAGTTGCTCAGTCATGTCCGACTCTTTGCGACTCCACCACCATATATATATGTATGACCTGTAAAGTATTCAGTTTAGTTCAGTTCAGTCGCTCAGTCATGTCCGACTCTTTATGACCCAATGAATCACAGCACGCCAGGCCTCCCTGTCCATCACCAACTCCCGGAGTTTACTCAAACTCATGTCCATCGAGTCAGTGATGCCATCCTTACGTAAGTAAGACAAAGACATATACTGACAAATATTGTATGTTTTCACTTACATGTGGAATCCAAAAAATTAAACAATTGGATAAATATAACAAAATAGAAACAGACTCACTACTGAGAACAAAATGGTGATTATCAGAAGGAAGTGGGCATAAAGAGAATTAAGGTATACAATAGATAAGTTTCAAGGATATAATGTACAAAACGGGAAATATAGTCAGTATTTTATCATGGCTATGGCGTGTAATCAATAAAAATATTGAATCATTATGTTGTACATCTGACACTAATATTATATGTCAATTATATCTCAATTAAAAAAAGATAGAATGGTTCATTATTCTTAGTAATGGGCCCTCATATAGGAAGCACACCTCAGAGAGAAGTATAGGATGCATTAATACTCTGGAGCTAGACCACCTAGATTTAAACACCGATTTTGTCTTTGGCAGCTGTGACACTGTGGAGGAGGTTAGTAACCCAATATGTATTCCCTCATGTGCAAAATAAGGATATGAAGAATAACTTCATTATAGAGTCATCATGAATAATTGATTTAATTAGCCTTTATAAA